GCCCCCCCCCCCACCATTGTTATGCATGGTTCAATTTGACCTGTTACCATTCCCCCGGGGACAAGTCCAGCCCTATGAGCCCAGGGGTGGGGAATTGTTGAAACGGTTCTGTCCCTGGGGTAGGGGGTGGGGCAAATAATCTAATAAAATTATAGGAATTTGTCAGAGAGTGGTTGAAGAAAAATAACATATCAATATTCACGTTTTAAAATTTGAAATGAATGTTAAAGGATGGTGCGCACTTGAATGCATTTTTTTTCTTCAGCCTAGTTTAATAATAAGACAACTTGGGCTGCATGCAAACGGACACAACATTGTTTGTCAACAACTCCCAACATTAATTGGTGGATGTTATATGTTGCGTCCGTTTGCACACCCTGTTGGATGTTGCAGCGTGTTGTTGCGCAAAGTTTGCAACGGGTCAAACTTTTCAGCCAACAACTCTTAACATTTCTTTTGTTCCCTGATCGCCAAACCATAGCGCAACAATGTTGGATCCGTTTGCACAGCTCTTCCAACATTGTTGGGGTCACGCACACTCATTACGCATGGTTTACAAAGACTTATGGGTTGTATCTTTCCCACGATGCACTGCAGGTCCCAACATTGTTGGGAGTTGTTGCATCCGTTTGCTCACCATTCCCAACACGCAACGTCCGTTTGCATGCAGCCTTAAATAGACTGTATATGAAAACAGATACAAGGCTTTTTAAGGGGCCAATCATTTATTTCATCCCCCCAAAATAATTACATACGAAAATTGTACCCCCCTTGACAATAACTTCTAGACCAAGTCTCTTCTTCCATCTTAATACAAGTAGTCAGCAGCATAGCATGAGATTTTGAAGGTGCACACAGGGGAAGAAACATTAGCACGCCAAAGGTGCCCCAAACCTTGGGGAGTTTGGAGGGACGCGCCCCCAGGAAATTTTTTAAATTTAGGGTCTCAGAAATGCCATCTTCTGCATTTTCTGCAGGACATTTTCAGTCAATAAAGACAAAGGAAAATTCATGCAGTAATTAGTTGTTTATTTTACCCCATCCAAAGCTGTACTCCAAGGAAAATTGAAAGGAGCCCCAGTGCTTTCAACCTTTAAAATCTAGGGCGCCCAGCATCAGCATATGATTTGTATGAAAAAACTAAGATTTTCTAGTCACCCAAGGGAAAAAGTTAAGAGCCAGGGGCCACCGGGCTCTGCTAGAGCACAGCCCTGCCACCTCTAGTGTTATTGGTAAGGTACAGTGTTTATGGGTGAAACAGGGTAAAACAGTGACGCCATCAAGGAGGTGTCAAGCGAAGGGCGAGATGTCTTCCCTTCAAATGGGCAAACTCTGTTATGCCATCAATATCAGTTATGTCCTTGTGAATGTGTAAGTGCAGAATTGCAAGAGAGCTCAATTTCTTGTCTGTCTTGGTCCTTCATAAAGGAGTTTGTGGTCTCTTCATACTGCTGATGCTATGCCCATCTGTGCATGTTGATGCGGGATAAGTCAACAAAGTTATTACAGCTACATATTACACTCCGGGATAGAACTGGAGTTGGCTTGGTCAAAAGTCTCAACCAAGGTCTGTGACTTCACATTCGGATCCATTTCACTCCACTTAGACCCTGTTTACATGGAGTGGGGGACCCTGGTTTAGTGGGGTAGGTTTCTTTTGTTTTGTGTCCCCCAGAGCGTGAAAACAAAAGAAACCAACCCCACTAGACCGGGGTCCCCCACTCCATGTAAACAGGCCCTTAATCAAGGAAATCCCAACACAAAAAAAACAATATAATGCGAAACATTTATCCCGAATTTATGATGGAAGTGTTTCAGGAAATAAAAAATCTATGTATTTTGCCCAGATTTCAGCTGTTTGCATAGGTGTATGCATATACATGCAAGCCACATTCCTGGTAGTAGAAATAGCTGATATGTTCCTAGGCCAAGCTTTAATAGGGTAGTATTTTATTACTGACAAAGACCTGCCGAAACGAATTTTTTTTTGTCTAACGTGGAAACATGGATTTGCTTCAATAATGATAATTATTCTCGGTTTTCATGTGACGTCACCAAAATTCAAACTAAGAAACTATCTATTCTTCTGTGTTTCTGAGTTTCATGAGGTATTACGGCACCTAAACACCTTTATTTAAACAAAGTTTTGGTTCCAAAGGGTTCTTCGTTTTGCGATAGGGGACGTTTGAATTTGTAGGCTTTTGCATGACGCGGCATTTGGCTGGCGGTCTGGAAGGCTCTTATGCGGGTTAAAAACATTACCAATTTTGGGAGACTTTGCTATCTAAACATTCCTTGTCTCAGAATAAATATCACTTTAATCCTTTATGAGTTTTTCAAGCGATGATTTCATGCATTAGTAGGAAAACTCAAAAACAGATGTTTCTGTTGGTTTCCGGCGGCCATATTTGCGCCCCTCAAAGGGACACAAACATGGCGTCTCCATACAAAGCTTTATAAATTTGGGTAAAACGTTTTTCCGAATATCTNGCATGACGCGGCATTTGGCTGGCGGTCTGGAAGGCTCTTATGCGGGTTAAAAACATTACCAATTTTGGGAGACTTTGCTATCTAAACATTCCTTGTCTCAGAATAAATATCACTTTAATCCTTTATGAGTTTTTCA